GAGGTTCATTGCGGTAGCTTCCATCAGCTTTCATGCTTGCTATATGCGCTGATCTCAAGCAAACTCGGGTGTGAAGATAAACTACGGAAAGTTTCTTGAAAAAATCTGAAAATGGTTTCGTGACATTCGACTTTTTGGAAGATGAGAGAAACCAGAGACTGATTTTAAAAATGCCTTCATAATAAAATACATTGCCCGATGATCATCCCTATTTCTTAAAAACGACATGTTTGTTATTAAAACTTTTTTTCATGTCAAATGTGAAATACACTTAAATTTAAATCTCATTTAATATTTTGCAATCAGCGGCTGTTGGAAGCGATCAGTTTCATAAAAGAATAAGATGTCTTTTCACCATAATCTTTAAAGGAAAGTTTGAAGATCTATGAATATTGCTGTGTGTTGCGTTTGTTATATTTCACCAATTGATTCTGCTGAATTTTTCACCAGTTTCTTGCTTACTATTTCAGCGCTTTATTCATTTATTTCCATTTAAGTACGAATTTGATTTAAGTACTCTGAAAAGGAGGTTAATTAAGTATTAGTTAAACAAAAGATAACATCTATCCCGTTTGAAGATATAAACTGGATTAACAAAACATATTGGTCAATAAACTAATTTTCCAACGATAAAAATAAATGAGCTTTATGTCTACACAAATTACTTGTTTTCTGGATGTATGGGTCTGTTTTCGTTAATATTTCGGTCCCTTGCTCTATTTTATCGTTGCTAAAATCAAAATTATATTGGGTGCCGATGGCTCTTGTGATACTCATCTCTAATTATACTTATTTATGACTATTCTCATATAAAATACAAGATGTAAAATACAAAGCAGTCACTTCTTAGAGCCTGTTTAGAAATTTTTGAAGCCAGAAAACATGAAGAATTAGCTACTAATCTTGCCGGGATTCAAATTCCAGACATCCCGATTGCTAGCAGACTATGCTTCCAGTGATACCACAAAGGCCTATTGTAATGTGTGAGAAAATACCTTGCAACTTCCGTATTAACCTTCTCTTATTTGCATTTCAACTTAAAATAATGTATAAACTGATTTGAAGGAAATTTCCTATGATGTGTGACTAAATGCATAACATATTTATTCATATGCAATTTTTTAGGGAAAACGTTGGTTTGATTTCAAACGTGCAACTTCCTATTCTGCTGTTTCCCAATTTATTTTACACTTTTTCGGTAACTTCTAATTCAACTGATATTTTATAGATTTTTTTTATACTTGATAGTATTTAGAATTCTGCCTTGCATAACGGAAATCTATCAATGAAGAAAAGTTTCGACACCAAGATTTAGAAAGAGATAAAAAAACTGACTGTTACATAAATTACCATGCATTTGCGCATAGTCAAATTCGAACACAAGTTAGATTAAGTTATTTACAAAGCAATCGAACTTTTCTTGTTTTGAAATGGATGCGTTGGAGGACGATTTCCTGGGGGAGAAATTAGTTTGCTCTTTAGACGTGAGAAAAATACAAAGAACCTCAAACAAAAGCGTTAACCTAAAATTGTCCTTCAAATGACATTTGAATATGCGTATTGCGAGTATGTGCATGTGTATGAATTGTTTGTGTAATCATGTATGTTTGTGTGTATTTTCATGCATGTTTAATGTAATTTAACTAAACATTTTATATATAATGTTCTTCTCATGAATATACATATATTAATTCCACATCTATAAATTTCTTGAAATTACACGTATAAACATTTCTTTTAACTGAAACGAAAGTGAACGGAAGTAAATTTAGTAAATGGTTTCGGTTTATTTTAATATGGAAAAGCACTTGAGAGCTATCTGCCAAAAGGAAGGGATATCTTCGTGGAGGACTTTCTAAGGGGAACTGGCTCGTATTCACGTTACACATGGGTAAAAACACGAAAACGCGCATACATTCGCCTGATCGAGGGATTCGAACCTCGAACTGAACTACCAGTGTTCAGCGACTTTACCTCCTAGACGCTGGGTCAAATTTCGTAAACGAAATTTAGTAGTGTGTAAACATGCAAAAGCAAAGGATGTTCATTCGCTGAGTACAGAAGTGAAAAATAATGATTCCAAACCTATTAAATTAGATAAAAAGTGCTGTTGCTTTGTTATAAATTCAAATGGATGATATTTGATTTTCAGTAATTATTTTATTAAAGTAATTTAACCCTGAAGATTTCTCAAAATTTCAGTTAGGTATTTAAATTATACTTGTAACAAAATATCTGTGCTCTAGTAATACCTAAAAGTTTAATTTATCTTTAAATTATTTTGTACTTTGACGGTTGTGTAAATTGAATTTGTTCATGTGATTTAAGATGAGAAATTCAATAATTCCTAAAATATATTATTACATTACGTCTTTTGTTTCAATACCTGAAATTAGGAGTTATTGCCTTTACTAAGCGATTTTATATTTTGGCAAAACAGAAATTGCTGCCACTTCATTTGTTGGAAATATTTGTTGCAAGTCTTTTGCACAAGCGAAGCGTTGAAAGTAATACACAGCAGCATCTTAAATAATTAAGTTTTCTCTTTATTAGCTGAACGCAGGATTTTCCACGTTGCTTGATGATGAGATAGTATAATACCAAGTTCCTCTCCATCCGGCATGAAGTTGCTATATCGAACAAATAAATTTATAAATGTGACTTTTTTTTCTGTGTTTCAAATTTTCACGCATTAATTGTGACCCTAGAAACTGATAATAGGTGCTCAACTGAATTATTGTTTTTAACTGACTTTCTTCAGAAGCAAATTTTGAGCATAAATTATCTGGCTTTGTCTCCCTATTTATCTACTCACACTCGTGAATGTACTTGAATTATAACTGATTAAAATTTAATTATCATTAGCTAAAACGTAAAATAATTTTAATTATTAGCATTGTTCTATAAAGTTTTCAAAACTTTTTAAAATGTTCTCTGTTGAAAAACTTAAATCCTTTTGTGATTAATACAGCTTGCAGTACTGTTGTGTAGTAAAAGATTCCTCAATAATGGTCATATTTGGAACAGGAATCCATATGTTCCATAATATACCGTGAAAACTGTATATTATGGAATTGTATATTTCGGAAAAGTACTGTTCTCTAATTGGAGTTTTAGAAGCAGAAATAGAAGCAAGGTGCCCAGAACTGAACAACGGTCGAGGTATTGTCTTCCATCATGACAATACTCGGCTCCACATTTCGAATGCCAGACAAAGCCTTATTGATTTTGGCTGGGATGTTTTGTATCACACTCCATATTTACTAGAATTTTCCCCCACGCATTTTCATCTCTTTGGAATTCTCTGAACGGTGTGTAGTTCACTTCGTTGAAAACTCTCAAAGTGGCAAATTATACTAGGGCTATCTGGCTAAGCGGACGGATGCTTTAGTGGAGGACGTTCTAAGCGAAACTGGCTCGTATACACGTTACACATACGGAAAACCACGAAAACGCCCATGTACCCAGTCCTTTCACCTGAAATCGACTTCAGGTCGAAACTACCAGTGTTAAGCGATTTTACCGCTCAGCCACTGGTGGGCCTCGATGCCATAGAACAAAATGGTGCTTATGTGATTTAGTGAAGTTTTCTTATGTTTTTGTACTGTTTCATCTGTATTTATCTTCAAAAAGAGCATAACGTTCAGGGTAACTGAACAGTTAACATTAAATTAATTTGCATTAAATTTTAGTGTCTTAAAGCATTTGATCATCGAATGATTCAAGTTTACTAAACCCGTTTTCTTAAATGTCGAGTGATTAAGATGTATGAATTTATCCCATTGAACACTTAATACTTCAATTCTTCTAAACCCATCCAAGAAATAACGGGAATAATTTCTGGTTTACATATTTTTAATCTGAGTACGTTAAATAAATTTCTTCTCAAAAACGAAAGTGAAAAAATTTATAAAAAAATATTACTCCTGAAATGTTAAGTTTATCGAAACCTTTTATATATTGCAATATGGAAAAATAACGTAAGATTTTGTGGATGTGGAATGAAGATGTAAATGACTGAGATTTCCCAACATTTGCATCGAAAGAGGTGAACTGCTGAAATTGCATTACTCTGAAAGGCTTTGACCCTATTCAGAGTTTGCTTATTGCTTCGATTTAGAAAGCTTGGTCTGAGCCCTTTGAAACTCTAAAATAAGCCCATCGTTTCTAATAACCTTGTTTTTCTGTCATAAAAGCAATAAAAGCGAGCCTTGGAATTCCCAAAATAACCACTATACTAAATCTCAAGATCGGCTCTGTTACTCAGCAGCGTTAAACAATTTCAGAAGATTTTATTACTCCGTTGACTTATTTTGAAAGACCCATGTTCTTCAGCATCTACTTTAAGGTTATATAGCAGTGTTTCTCAACCGCCGTTCCTTCCAATTGTTTAAGTTCCACAATTTTACATATGTAAAGATTATGTCAATAGTCCAAACCACTAAGCTTACCGCGATAAAATACTGAAATATTTTACCGGGTAAGTCAGGTAATCCTAAGAGTAAAACGGGCTGAGAAACACTGTTCTATAGCACACGTCACAGTCATAAATTAACAGATACGCAAGGCATCGAATTGTTTTCAGATTTGCCGTGCGACTTACAGTCGAACAACAAAATTTGCTTCGGAAAGATGAACAATTCAGACTTTTCTAAGCAATTTAAACTCTTGAATTATTTCGATATGTGTCGAAACATTTTAGTAGCATGTTTTAACATTACCCATGTTTTTGTTTAAATCATCCTGCTTTCGTTTAAAAAAGAAAACTGATTAGTACTTTTTGTGAAATTTGGTTTGAATTGAAACAAATAAGTTTTATCCCATAGGTAAGAAAAGAACTTCAATCATTTCAGTTCCCGTTTTTATAAGCGCATCATTTAAATGGCAACAGAGATTCAGCTGATAAACGACGTGACGTCACTAGATTTCGTAAACATCGATCGCGCGCATGCGAAGGCAAAGTGAACCAGATTCGCCTTCAGATGCTCTCCGAGTCTTCGCCGCTGAGGGCGAGAAAGTTTCGACTCGAGGAGGAAGGATTAAAGCAGGTGTTCTAGATAGATGTGATGAGCACGTGTTGAGATGCAAGTAAAAACCGTGAGTTCCGAAGAATAATAACTGCAACCGTAACGCATTTCCTAAGGGAAAGTTTGTAAGTTTGACCTTTGCGTTTAGCTTTTGGCAATGGACGTTAATAGACAATATCTTTCCTCTCTTCTGTCGGTGTTTACTTTATCGACTGCATAAATATTTTTCACTAAGCGATTTACTTTGAAAGAATGAAATATTGTGTTCAAACTCCTCCTAATCTACAAAAATCTGTTTTTTTTTCCAACATTAATCTCCATTATATGTGTTAATATCCTCAGACTGAAATATATGTAGAGCTTAAAATAGTGGGGAAAAAAGTTATTTGTTAATACATGTAGAGCTTAAAATAGTGGGAAAAAAGTTATTTGTTAATACAGACCTCCACATATTTCTAATGTTATATAAGGTTTGTCTTCAAATGAGAAGGGATGGAAAAGCCATGTATTTTATTTTGTGCGATATTAGAAAGATTTTGCTTGATAAATAAATTTGCATGACTTGCTGCCTGATGTCGCCCAGACAAGAAGTTAGATGATTTTTAATTTTAGTTTATTTTTAGTTTGTTATATTTTAGAAGCGTCATTAGCTGCTGGTAAATATAGTAGGAAACGTTTTTCTTGTACTGCTTAACAAATAAAAAGCGTTCTTGATAATTTTGGCAAGTATTCAATTCTGTTAAAGAATCATAAAGAGCCATCGTTTATAGACTGCTTGCTAAGACTATAGAGTACGAAGTAATGAATGTATCTTATTTATCTTTCATTTTGATTTAAAATAAGATTAGGTTTCTTATAAATATTCATCTAAATTTAAACCTGTTTTCACTGTTATAAACATAGGTAGTCAATTAGAACATTACTTACAGTACATTTTATTATTCAACGGAAGCGACTCTCAAGGTAATCATAATAGCAATTAAGAGTGTTTTGAATCTTGAAAATAGAAATTTTTTGAAAATTTTTGCTAACGGTGTAACAAAACAGCCTTAATAGTATTAAAATTTCCAGTATTTCTTTTATTCTCGTAGCTTTTGTAAATACCTTTTAAAATGAAATTAGTTCCTTCTGCATCAAGATTTGTTTTATCAAAAGTGCCAAACTTCAGTTTTTCTATGAAATTCACTTTTGTAAATATATGAAACTCTATCAAAAATGTACAAATAGTTTGAAAATAGTCATTATAATAATCTATTTTCTGTAATACTACATTGACGTAAGATCAACAGTATTATATATTATTGTGCTAAAATTTAAGCTGTGCCGAACAAAGAACATTTTAACTAAAATACTAGAACTACAGAATATAAAGAAGAGAACTTTAGTTTTGAAATATTATCTGACTTGGATACCTGAACAAAATTCTAACAACGAATGTTAATATTTGAATGTATTTTCGCATAATATTTATGGTTGTGATAGGCTTAATATAACATATGAAACTTATGGCAGTTGTAGAGAAGAAATATATTAGCTATCAAGGCTAAGAAATGTTATTAAATGCAAGCATCTGCTTAGTGTCAATTCTGTCTACTGAATTAGCGCTTGCAAGAAAATCACCAAATAATACCACGTTAGAAACATGAGTTTTAAACTTTTCCTAGAATGTAGAGTTTCTTTACATAGAAATCTGGCAGCTTATAGGACGTTGCTAACGTAGACTTAGGAACAATATATATTCGTAGTTATAGAGATATCTTTTCGGTCATAAAGCGAACGGTTACATAAATAAAGAGATGAGAGCTAATGCATCTTCTATTCACCCAATGGCCTCTGACAGCGTTCAGGACTGTCGACGTTGTAGCAAGGATTCACAAAGATCATCACTCGCTGTTGACGTTACGAAACGTTTTCAACTGATGACATCTAGCGATGCAGCCCCCAAACGCAACCAGCGGAAGGGGCGAAGGACAACGGTCGCGTGTTTGCCTCAAGGATCTGAGACATTTCTCTTAGAAAATGAGCCTGACGTGGACAGAAGCCATCATCATAGTTTGACAGAGCTTTCAACGTTTGGAATCTACAGAGAACCTAGGCATAAAACGAGCAATGGAAGTAGAGTAAGAACAAGGTCGAGCGATGAGATATTTCTGGAAGACGTTCAAGATGAGGTAACTTTTGCTTTCTTTCATTGTTATATTAGTGGAATGTATACAAATTTTTTTTGGTGTGCCACTGTGCCAAACTATGAGGTAGGCGAAGCAGGGGTTTAAAATTTGACATAACAGCTGGTAATGATTTGTAAGCTAAAATGGGTACGATGCAAAACCTTTTGCACCACATTAAGATTAGATGGGTAGTATAAAGCTCGTATTCCCTTTCTAACTTCATTTTTAAATTTATGATCTCACAGCTGAGAGGTTTCTACAAACAACTGTCGTGAATTTATTGCTCCTGTTAGTTTTAAATGAGATTTAAAAGTAAACGTTTATCCCATATCCGCCTGTAGGAAACACTCTAGTGCCAAAACTTAGTTGGGGGCATCGCGCAAAAAACTTCATGTGCCAAAATTCTCTCTTTGTCTATCTAAATCTACTTAAACGTATACAACAACTTATGTATATTTTAAGACTCTCATTTCAATTAAACGGCAGGTTGCTAACTAAAATGATTTTTAAAAGGATATAGAAGTAAGGGTGAATTGTTTTAAAAGCATTAAAAATGAACATTTTAAATTATATGCGTTTGGTGATCATGTATGTTTTCGTATATGGATTATTATAGTCTTTAAAAATTTAATTGCATTTTAAAAGAGAGAGATAAATGTATAGAAAGTGCTCTAAAAATTTGTTTTTAAAATATTACATGCCCAATAATGAGAGTAATAAATAAACGCTTCAGCTATGTGATAGTAATATATCTACTAAAGATTTGCTTGACTTATATTCGGCCCACCAGCGGCCGAGTGGTAAAGTCGCTGAACACTGGTAGTTTGGTGCGAAGTTCGAATCCCGCGAACGGGCCAGCTGCAGGGATATTTTCGTGGTTTATCCCATGCATAACTTGTCTACGAGACAGTTTTCCACATAAAGTCCTCCACGAAGGCATCCTTCCCTTAAGGCAGATAGCCCTCGAGTTCTTTGCCATAATCAAATAAACTAATTGGCCTGGATTCCAAACTTGGGACCTATTTGTTCACCAAAATGGCAGCTGCATATTTGGACTTATTTGTTTATCACAGGTGCTGTTGAAGTAAAAGCTGTGTCTTTATAATCAACGACCAGAGTTTTAAAATTTTTCTTTTTGATTTTTAACCAAATTTTCTATTTTCACATCATTTAGTTATACGATTAATAACGGAAATTTAAAAATAGAAATTATTATGACAATATGTATTTAGAGCAAATGTTAATCTGATAAATTACTTGTATTAACGATATGCTTTTTCCTCGCGTCAACATATATGCATAGATAAGGAAAGTAATATTTTCGATTCGAAAATTCGATAGTGGGTTTTCAATGAATACGCATCAATTAGAGTCCTCACAACACGTTTTTACTATTTTTACGGTGATGTCTGTGTGTGACGATTTTTTCGTCGAGAATAACATTTAATCTTTTCAAAAGTTCTATTTTTCGAAGTTAAGCTTTCTGCATTCATATAAATTGTTGATAAGATTTTATAAAAAATCAAACTGGGCACTTTACAAAAAGGCCATATCAGTCTTTAATGGACAGCTGGAATAGTACATTACTTGAAGTCCGTAACAGATTTTAATGAAAAACTCTATTAAAATATTATTCAAAACTTTTCAGTTTTTGTATTTAATGTCTACAAATTTTTTAATAATTAATAATATGTACTAAGTTTTAGACTATTATTATTATTGGAAACGACATATTAGACTTTGGCTCAAATTCATAAACTGAAAGTGGTATTTTACTTGAAGCTATGAACAGATTTTTCATGAAAACGTATGTTATGATATAATCCCAAACTTCTCGGGTTTTGGTATTTAGAACTCGTATATGTGTATGCGATGCATATAGAATCATGAATGAGAAACAACATATTAAATTTTAACTATTTATGTGATAAACCGAAAGTGGTTCTTTATGTAGAGCTCTTAGCAGATTTTCGGGCAAAAGTATATAACCACTATAAGAGTTTAAGGGTATTCCTGTTATATCAAGACATGATATTTATGTATATCAAGCTGCTGAAGAGAGTGATTTTTATAACAGAGGTTCATTTGCAGAATTTAAAAACTTGCAAATCAGACATGTTACCCAAAAACTCACCTTCACAAGAGCCAGCAGCAAATTCAAAAACACGAATTGCTTTATTTCTAGTGGTCAACCCTCGAGTTGGCTTCCGAACAGGGCTACTCGCCCACACATGCACTGTTGATGATGACGAGGCATAAGAGCAAGTAACAAATTCATAAACATATATTGCTTTATTTCTACTGGTCATCCCTCGACTTGGCTTTCGACGGGGGCTACTCGCTCGACCTTTGCGCTGTACATGATGACGAGCATAAGAGCAAATAGCAAATTCAAAAACCCACATTGCTTTATTTCTACTGGTCACCCCTCGAGTTGGCTTCCGCCCGGGGCTACTCGACCGACCTTTGCACTGTTGATGATGACGAGGCATAAGAGCAAGTAGCAAATTCTAAAACACATATTGCGTTATTTGTACTGCTCACTGCTCGATTTAGCTTCCGATGGTGGTGTTAGCCATGCAGAGTTTAGATCATCACTTTGCTGCTGGCATGAACTACTTTGAAGTTTTGCCAGTAAATCAAAATGCACCCTAAATCCTTTCACTGTAGTTGAAAAAATTATGATGCTACTGCACCACACCCGAAGGTGAAAAAAAGGGTAGTAACAAAGCCAAGCAAGCAGTTGTGCAGGTAAGTTTAATTAGGTAAGCATTTGTAAAATATATTCGTGTTTACCGTTACCACCAGTGTGCATTTTGATCAATAGATATTGGGCATTTTACTACATATTCTATGGAAGGTTCCTATTTGGCGAGTTCTTTAATTTCAGAATAAAGCGAGTTCTTTTCTTATTCGAAAATGTTATGAGCAGTGATTAGCATTGGGTCATGGATAAGCTTTATTTTTAATTCCTTATGGATAATGAAGTTACGCACAAACAGAGTTTAAATGCCAACTTATTTGAAGAAACAAGGGCTATATCAGTAAGAAGAGTTCTGATGAACTGTCCGACTGTATCTTGAAAGCATGTTAATAATGGTCGGACGTTTTGATATCATTTTGAGCAGTCAGAGAAATACAAAACTGTAACAACGTTGTATGAACAAAGTTAGATTTCTGCTAGTGCATAAACTAATATAGGAGGACATAACATCAGATGAGCAATCGATAAAAAAATAAACAAATTAAAAATACATATCAAGACAGAACTGTACAAAGTTGTATATGGGAAACAGCGTTGAATGTAGAGGGGAAGTGTGCCGATGTAGTCCTATTGTAGGCCACTTGAGTACGTGTTTGGGCAGTCTGCATATGGCTTAACATCGCTGAGTAGGCAGTGACGCAATATTTAATAACTGATTCAATTTTATTTTGTGCAAATCTATTACTGTTGGTCTTAACAGCTCAGTTTGACCGGTTTACGGAAGCTGCTTTTTAAAGGTGCCTTGAAGCATGTGGACTGTCAAATACATAGCTGTCCTTTTTACTTCCTTGTACGATTTAAAAAGGAAGTATTGTAATCGCGAAAAGTTTCAGGCAGCATAATTCAACGAAAATATCCATTTTGACCGCTAGCGAATGCAATTTAACGATGTTTTTGCGATATATCTGTACGTAAGGACAGAATAAAATACTCCTTTCCTTCAAAAAAATTATAAAACTGCTTTAAAATTAATTCTGAAGAGAATTTTTCGTGGCGTCTGTACGAACGTATGTACGTACGTGCGTACGTACGTATCTCGCATAACTCAAAAACGAGTAGCCTGAGAACGTTGAAATTTTGTATATAGGACTGCTATAACATGTAGATGTGCACCTCGTATTTTGGTTGGAATCCGCCGCACCAAACGTTTATAAATATATTCATATATATATCCACTCTGTTACTCGGCTCAGTGATCTCTTCTTTACTCTTATATGTTTGTAAATTGTACATTTTTTGCTTTAAAAATGATTGAATTATGTTGTTTTTATCTTCCGGTTAAGGATTTAGTAAAACTGTGTGCAATATTTTTAGAATTATCAACAATTTTAAAGTTGTTTAATTGCCGCTAAGCCTGTTTTTAATGGCGGCCATTGATGTTTACATTTGAAACAGGAGACTAGTGGATTTGTTGCCAATCTAGAGAAACTTAGCTTCGCAACAACAAAGATAACGCCTCCATTTATTATTGCCAATTAAATCATGCTTAATCCTTTCTGGAATTTTTCGAGGAAATAAGCGTTTGAGATTTACTTCGTAATTTTTAATATAGATATTTTGAGTTTTTATGTATTTTTGCCTTCTCGCGAAGTGAGAACTGAATTAATTAAATGAGAAATACTCAATCGTCCGTAAAAACTGTTTCCTTTTTTGTTTTGTTTGCTTAATTTCTTTTATACATCGTTTTAGCTTTATTATAGTATTTGAATAGAACATGTGGCAACGATTAGATAATTCTTTAAATAATATATATTTTGTGCATTTTGAGTTATAATATGAATGAAATATAATACTGTTAAGTAAACCTAGCGCCAGAGTGCGCTATGGTAAACAAAGTGAATTTTAAAGAATGCATTTATTCTATTGTGGTTTATGCGCTGTCGGCGGTATAGTAGGTTTAATTCAATCTAATAAGTTTAAATAAAATGCAAGAAAAGATGCGTATAATTTAATATTCCGTACAAGGAAGTCATGTGGTATACACATCAGATTTTTTCTTTTCTCTACCACATGCACGGAGCTTTGTGTCACTGCATCGGGAGCGATGCAAATATGCTGGGAATGGACCGTGTCCAGAGAAGTACTTCTACTGCTCCCGAAACGCACGGTAGTCACTAACCACTTGCAATTCCAAAACTAACCAGCATTGTGTATTGATGCCTAAATATCACGGGGATATATGTGCAGATAAAAAAGAATTTCGATTTTTTTCATACTATAAAAATAACGCAGAAGAAAA